CTGCATGTGCAAATATACATACAGAGCATGACTCACTAAGATACAAGATCAACGGAATATATAAGACTCGCATATCACAATAAATTAACAAAACATGTATAACACTTATACTAATAGGACTATGGAGTAGCGCAGCTGTAGCGCTACTAACCAGCACAAGCTATCAACACAATGTGCGGGCGGGGCGGCCGTGAATTTGAATACTGTGACGTCCGCGCTATTAGCGTAAGAATACAAAATTGCACGTCATGCGCCTACTGGACGTGACAACACTGCCTAGGTCACCTTTTAAAACGGAGCGAGGAATTTTGAATCTTGATGTGAAAGAGGGAACCGGAACACATTGGACTTGTTGGTATAAGGAAAATGATACTTGTTATTAGTTCGATCGTTGTGTCTTGACATGTCCTAACGAGTTTAAAACGTGCATGAATAAAAACAACATTTTTTGGTCTGCCTATAAGATACAAAAATTGGTGATGTAATTTATGGACATTTATGTTTAGAAATGTTAAAAGGACTGGAGTATGAAAAATTTGATTCCATCCTAATAGATCTTTATAGGAATGGGTATTAAGATTTCTTTATTTTATTTATCTTTATGAAATGGCAAGTATTAATATCTATGTAAATAATTTGAATCTTTCATCAACTTGCAAAGATGGTGAGGAAGAACCAATTGAAGTATATCCCTTAGAGTCTTTGAAAACTTAGAGTCTTTGAAAACAATTGAAGCTTTTCGAAAGAAGCATTCCACCTTCAATTCAATTATTACAACCCTGAGAGAAGACTTACAAGTTGAGTTTTCTAATACTGATTTAGGTTTGAAATTTTTAGTCTACTCTTGAAGATAAATATAAAATTTTAGAGTCTATGATCGATTCTTCTGAAGAAAAACTAATTAAACATTAGATGATAAAATTTACTGTTTGCAGTCAGCTTTCAATGGCAAAGTCAAGAATTTGGAATTGCATGTCGAAGAAAATTAATCCAGCAAATTGATGAGAAAATCATCAGTTTGCAATTAGCGCTCGCATGACAGAGTAAAATATATAGAAATGGGTATTGAGGAAACAATTTGGGGAAAAAACAAATCGTTTGCAGGTAGCGCTTGATGATAAAAAATTCGGAATTTCATATTGAAGAAACTTTGAAACTGATTATTGAAGTTGCTGAGGAAATCCATAGAGTACAGTTAGCGTTTGAAGATTTAGTAAATGAAAAGCTAAAAATTCGGAATTGCGGATTCATAACCTCGAATCACAAATTGATGGAAAAGTATCATGTGCCGAAGTTGATCAGAAATTCAAAAGATTGGAGTTAAATTTAGCTTCAATTATTGATGTAAAATGTAATAACATAACAGAACACGTCATGGAGTTACGAGCGGGGTCAGTTTTGCTGACAAAAATGGAAGATATTATTAATATGAAAGATATTAAAACATATTTCATGAGTTTTCTAGAGATATATCAAATCAGAATGAAATTAATCAACTTAAATTGATGCTACAAAATGAAACTGATAGAAACATAGAACCGAACAAAATATTAACTGATGGTATAAATAATCTTATATCTTCACGAGCTCGGGAAGTCAGTAGGCTTTAGAAGTTTTTCTTTATTAAAATGACTGGTGTTGATATATTTGGAACTGAAATTTATAGTACTCCCTTATCATATCTAAGAGGACCGTAATATGGAATTTTTTAGTTTATAGCCGTGGCCCCTGGTGTTGGTTCTTGTTTTAAATTCCAGTAATCCTTCTGGGACCTTTTTTGGAAGACGTAATAACAGATGTCCGATGAGAGGTAATGTCCAAGTCTGGAAATATTAATCAGCCGTAGATTGATGCTGATAATATTCACTATGATATTCGTCATCTCTCCACTGAAATAATCAGATTATAATTTAAGTGAATATATCAGAACAAGCATTGAAAAGGACTTTAGAAATAAAACTTAAAAAAATGCTCTATAAGTTGAAAGACGATAATAAAAATGAACAGAAGAACCATTTGTATTTCCTTCTTCAAGTTTGAGGTGTCTCATAATTGGAAGATCGAACTGTGGTAAAACGTCATTGCTACTGAAGTTGCTTTTGGAGAACTTTATTGATTTAAGCAATCTTTTCCTGTATAGTAAGTCAACTCATCAGCCTGAATATAAGTTGTTGAAGAACGCTTTCGATAAGGGATATAATAAACCCGAAATAATTTATTTATTTTCTGACCGCAATGGCAATATTGATGAATATTTTAAAAACTGCCCTGGATGTAATGGGCCATCATGATTCCTGCCTGCCGGAACGTAGCCTTCAACACTTCAAGCCGTCCGTATCTAAGCCGTGGGTCGAACCAGCCCTCGGTCGAACGGCCACTTGTCGAAGGACGATAAATTTTGGAACAGAACTATGCTATCTGAAACCTAACCTCAGATGCGGTGAACGTAAAATTACGTAATTTAACGATGCCCTGTAGTCAGATTCGATCCGCGGCCTGGTGGTGCACGGTAGGTGGTGGTCAAGGCAGGAGGAGGACAAAGCCGAGTGGTGCACGGCCGATTGGTGGATATCCAGAGCGATCCAATGCGTTCGATTCAGGGCTTATTGGTGCACAAAATTGGTGGTGCACGGCTGCGCTCCCTTAAAAACCTACCTAAAAGACGTCAACAAAAATGTGCTATCTTATATTTTGAGAATACTGCTTCTGTACATGGTCCCACTGATATAGATCCAAGGAAGAATTTGTCCATATTTTATGATATTGCTACGGAAAAGCCGATACTCCTGGTGATAGTATTTCCTGCTGATTTTCTAATAGAATCCTGCTGATAGTATTCATACCCGTGGAAGACATAATAACTCTATTTCAATTTACTTGTCCCAAAACTATCACATATCACCAAGACAAACCATTAGAACGAATTCAAATTTATTAATTCTATTCGAGTTTCCTTTCATCGATATGAAGAATATTCATAGTGATTACATTGCTTGTGATATGCCCTTTGCCGAGTTTCAAGAACTGTGTAATGAAACGTATTAAGTACCTTATATCTTTGTGTTGATTAATAAAGATGAGCATCCCGCTTCTTGAAAGTATTTTAAAATTTTAAATCAATTAAGCATCTCAAAAAAGTATCCTCCATCAAAACACTCGCTCAAGCGCTGAGTTCTCGGTTAAAAGGTGCTCGGTAAATCGGGGTAATATTCGGGTAAGATTTTGGATAAATGACCAAATTCTATTCGGGGGTAATTGGTCAATTTTGATGGGTAATATTCGGGGTGGGTGAGATTTTGGGTAAATGATCGGTAACCTGTTAAGCTGTTTATGCAAATTGTTACCATAAGCTCGGTCTCTATACTACTGCCACTCTATCTGGCGGTAACCGTAATAATGCACTGCCTGTAAATAAACTTGACCGCTAAATTTACTCCGGCGGGTAAATGTCAAGTTTTCTCGATTGAATGATTTAGTTCTCAAGATGAAACTGTTGCTAAGTGAGCTTGATTGTTGTGGGGTGTGAAAAAAGTCATAAGGATATCTAAGAGATTTATTACTACTACATTTAACGAAAAGTGGTTGTCAAAGCGTGCAAAAAGTGTAATAGTATTGTGCATTGTTTTCTAAGATATTTGTTGCGATTTCTCAGTGCTCAGGAGATGGAAGGTGCATACCATAAGTAAATTTTTCTGATATCAAGAGTTGTGTGACACCTGATGTTTCTTAACACCTGTTGTTTCTCTCATCAGGTGTTACGCGGCATAACGTATTATAATTTCGTTTATTTTTTAATAAAGCAACATGGTATATTTGAAAATTTGGGAGCACAGTTTGCTTGTTTACCGTCCCGATATTCGACGAATACGTCAGTGGGAAGAATCGCACATCTTGGTTCTGAGAACAAACACTAGAAATTAAAAGCTTTTTGTCTGTACGCTTGACAAATTGTTTGATAAACTTGTTCTCAGTTCTCAACATGAACAATTTAATTTATTTTACGTGAATAAACTTGCTTGACCTTCAACTCTTGCATACCAATAACTTTTATCTCTTAACCATGGCATAGAACAGATGCATCAATCTACCTTGTAATCGTGCGTATCGCCAATGACTCGCGGGAAATACGCTCGACGATTTGTAGAATATCAGGCGTCAATCACAAGGCCATATCATGGAGACATCATGACGCCTGCTGTCATCAAACTTTATTTTATCACATGCTCATTTGTCACAGGAAAAACTTTGTGAACGGCGTTTCAATATTTCTAAATTGAGAAAGGGTAGGAGAAATCCTTCGTAGTACGAAATATATTTTAATAGATTTCTACAATCAAGTTTCTTATCTTTCATCTATGCAAATTGAATTACTTTTGAAAGATGCCAAAGAGCAAAACATAAGTTAAGTAAGTTAAGTAAGTTGTTTATGGAAATGCAATTAATTTTTGGAATGCATTCGTCTTTCCTGTAAATGTGTCGAATTGGCTCGCTCTGTGTAAGCCCATTTCGAATGGGTTGCTTGAGATTGTATTCATTGGTGAGTATCGAATGATTGGTAGAAAACAAGCTTCAGCTGAAGGATGAATATTTTTAGGAATATGTCGTTCAATTGTTATTTATTAAGTCTGTTTCAAAACCCTTAACGGCCAAAAAATTCTGCCATTAAAATTTGAAATCTTCATAAAATGAAGAGATTAGAGGTATAACTGGAAACAATAATGCATCTCTGGTATTGGAAACGTTATTGAAAAATCTTTCAGTTAACTTACAAAAGAAGTCGAAGAAGTGAAAAATGTTTCTCCATTTCTTTCTGGTGAAAAGAATAATGTATTTATTCACAAAGTATTATATATTTTCCATCTTCATATATACAGTTTTTATGTAACTTGCCTTTGAGCGTAGTTGCATTTTGTTATCGAGTCGCCCACGTGTATTTCGTCTTATCAAAAATATTGCGATCAAAGATAAGCTACCTCCAAAACTGTCGTTCTTCAGAGCAATTCCTCACTCTATTTGATCATCTCTTCACCATCACAACCAACGAGATGGCGTTGAAATTACTATCACTCATTCTTTTCGTCGCGGTGCTGAGCTTCGACTTCAATGCTTGTGTTGGACAAAGCGACACCAACTTTTACTTTACGTTCGATGACGATTTGCAAGGACTAACGGTGCACAGGGGCACCTGGAAATGGTCTGACATGGCAAGCATGCAGTACAAAGTACCTCCTGGTAAAGATGGCTTTGCAGTTTACGACAAACCACGTGAAGGGGACGAGCTATACTCTGATTTTATTCCACTAGATTACGGCTTAAATTACACCATCACGTTCTTCCTCAACTCAAAGTACGAACAGGGAACAACGTTTGCCTTGCACAAACTCTCCCGTTCTGGCTATTACCTTGAGATCATTGCCGACTACACGTATCTCTCCAGTCCCCTCAACAAGAACTGGATGACCGTCTCTGGATATGTGCCACCAGAATCTCACGCTTTGGTAAGAAGGTATAATTTTATACGAATTACATCTTTCAATAATCTTAGTCTATCAATAACCGTACGGAAAATTGAAAATATTTTTTCTTTTCTGTTATGTACTATGTTGAAATTGTTTAAGGAATTATTCAGTTAGTTACAGCTGTAAGATTTTTTCTTCATTCGACTTGCATTCTGATCATACTTTAAAAGATGTTCCTTGTGGCAGGAAATTTGCACGAAACTATCTGATCTGTGTTGATCAAATTTTAAGCCTTTAAAATTTACGAAAGGCGACTATGATAAACTCCGTGGAACAGTGAATATTTCGAACTGTATTAAGGACATGAATGTGGCCGAGTCATGGTCATTTCTGAAGGACACGGTTATGTCTGCAGTTGCTGCGTGTGTACCTAAAATTAGGCTCGGTGGAGCAAAAAAACTCTGCGGATGAACAGTAGAGTTCTAGCAAAGCTGAAAACCAATAAGGAAGCCTACCAGCGATATTCACAGACTCGTAGCGATGCTGATTGCAACCTATATGCCAGAGCTCGAAATGAAGCTAAAAAAGCTGTCACACCGCAGTAAAAATCTTCGAACAAAATAGTGCCAAAAATGCAGAAAAGAACCCGAAAGCCTTCTTTTTGTACGCTAGCTCGAAGTGCAAGATAACGGACGGTATTTCCGATTTGAAAATAGATCAACGAAAGATATCCTCTGATATGGGCAAGGCTAACGTTCTTAATCAGTATTTTAGTAGCGTATTCACTGAAGAGGACTTGAACAGTATTCCAGCTATTGAGGAGCGCCCAGTCGGCTCTAAATTGACAAGTTTTGAAATACAAGAAGTAGAGGTCATCAAGCGCCTGATTGCTCTAAATCCAAACATGTCATGTGGACCAGACGGCTTCTACCCTAGATCACTCGAAGAGTTAGCAAATGTCCATTTATCGAAAAAACTTTGAACGAGGGATTTTGCCGGCTGACTGGAAAGAAGCTCAAGTGACCCCATTGTTCAGAAAAGGTGACAAAAGTTGCTCGGGCAACTATCGCCCTGAAAGTTTAACAAGTGGCATTTACAATGTAATGGAAGCTGTGGTGGGGAATCGATTGATCGATCATTTGACTGCTAATAGTCTCCTATCAGACTGTCAACATGACTTTATTGCCGGGAGATCCTGCACCAATAACCTCTTGTCTACTTTGTATGAATGGACCCGCCTGCTGGACAAAAGGGAGCCAGTAGATGCAGTATACCTCGATTTTGCCAAGGCATTTGACTGTGTCCCACACGAGCGGCTGTTACGTAACTTGAAGTCTTTAGGAATTGAGAGTAATGTACTCAAAAGTATCAGAGATTTTCTATTTGGGAGACGGCAACGTGCTATTATTAATGGGACCGTATCAGACTGGGCTTCAGTGCGCAGCGGCGTGCCACATGGCAAGCGTTCTTTGACCTGTTTTATTCGTTGCATTTATAAACGATCTGCCTGAAATCGACAATGGAAAAAGATTTGGTAGTTAATGTCGAAAATGAGTTGAAATTTTCTAAGCAAATTGAAGCTCAAGTTAATAAAGCCAATCAACGACAGGGACTGATCATACACTCTTACGAGTACGTTTCATTGAAGACCAGAGAATTTGTTTTATTCGCAATTTTCTTATTAGTTTTTTCAATATATCGAACAATATTTTTAGTTTGAACTGGCAAATATTGTTCGATATATTGAAAAAACTAATAAGAAAATTGCGAATAAAACAAATTCTCTGGTCTTCAATGAAACCTGCTTGAGAGAAGAAATTCTGCCAACCTATACTAATCTTACGAGTACATAGATGCAGAAGCGATGAAGCTGTTGTTTGGCACTGTCGTGCGTCCGAATCTGGAGTTTGGAATTGCTGTGTGGTCACCAAAACTAGCAAAGGACAAAAATTTAGTTGATAGTGTTCAAAGACGTGCATAAAGGATAATAATTCCGGGATTAAAAGGCAAGCCTTATGAAGAAATATTAAAATTTATGAAGCTTCCAAGCCTCCGTTATCGACGTCTGCATGGTGATTTCCTTGAAGTATACAAGTATACTCACGGTTTATACATGGTCTCAGAAGAAATAATGGAATTTGAAACAAGAACCAACACCAGGGGCCTCGGCTATAAACTAAAAAACTGCGTTGTAACCCATCCATGCGACATTTCTTCTCGCTTCGAGTCACAGACATATGGAACAGCCTCCCTGAATTAGCATCGTTGACGCTCCGAGTATGAATGCATTCGAGAACAGACTAGACGAAGCTATGCAGTAGCATATGTTGTCGTGAAATGCCTAGCACCTTACGAGCCTTCCAATAAGTCCAGGAGCTATATCAATCAATTCGTTAGTTATGGAAAGATCGGGTTCACAAGGCTGGATCCCTTGTGGAATCAAGTCACGAGAAGTACAAGAATCAGCAACAGGCCATGGGCCTATTCTTCAGTGCCGACACTTTTATTCTATTATGAACCAAAAAGATCGGAACTTCGGGCCGATCTGTTAAGTTCTTGGTGGCAGGAACTTTGTACGAAATTATCTGATCGGTCTTGATCAAACTAAAAAGATCAGAACTTTGGGCCGATCTGTTAAGTTTCCGATCTGGGATCTTAGCATTCTTAAAATTTCTACCTTGCCTAACCTTCAATAATGTTGGGATTTGAAGAGCGCATTTTTATTGGACTCCTCATTTACTAATCTTGAAACAGCTGCATTGCCTGTTGCTACTTTTCTTCGTTCACTATACAGTGAATCTGTTACAGCAAACTATGTTGGCAGCACATAACAAGAGTGCTTGTCAACTGATTTTTTTTTCAAAGTCGTAAATTTCTAAGAAGGGATTACTCGAAGTGCGCCAGTGACGAACTACGTTTTCATTTAATGCTTATTTTCTGCTAACCGAAAAAACTTTACAGATTTCTCTCTAACTTTTAAGGTATTCTTCATTCATGAAGTGCAGGCAATGTATAATTTAAACTTGAAATATCATACGTAACGATTGATGACATTAAGTCGATATATATTTCCTGGGGTTCAGTTCACTCGCATTTTCTTTCTTTATGCCTAAATTCCAGCCAATGCAACTAATCTTAATTGTTCGTATGAGAACTTAATCTATTTATTTATTTTACTACTAGTTTTGCCAGAATAAATAAAAACCTAATTAAATTTTCCTTCTTCCCTGCAGTTTGCGCTATTCTGCCAGTCTGAATATTCCAATCCAAACGGCATCAATGGTTATCTCTGGGGTTGTGCTGTGGACTCAATGAACCTCATCACAGGACCTGACCCAACCTCTACCGCACCCCCCACCACAACAACCACCTCAACCACTACAACTCCCACTACAACCACTACAACAACTCCTACCACGACCACTACAACTCCCACTACAGCTACAACGACCACAACTACAACAACACCCACAACTACAACAACCCCAACTACGACAACTACAACAACACCAACTACGACAACAACCCCAACTACGACAACAACTACAACAACCCTAACTACGACAACCTCAACTACGACAACAACTACTCCAACCACTACTACCAAACCTCCTCCGTAAGTACATATAAGCGTTGACGACTTTATAGGGGTCACTCGTATAGGAAAAGCAAGGTAAAAATCCTGAATTTCACTTCGGCTTCTCATTTGAATCTTCTTGTACGGATAAAGTATTAGTGTATTGGAAATAAAACATCCAGATCACCTTCTTCGATTACGAATGGTTCGTTTATTGCATCGTTACGGACGACACGACCGTTTCGTGTTCCCGTGGAAATAAAGTTAGAAAATTATAATCAAAGCCTACGGATACGACAGTGGAATTGAAAATTAAACGCGTAGCCCACCAAATTATCCGTGAAAGCAAGAAAAGTTACCTGAAGAATTCAATCTATCTAATCTAAAGGGTGATTCACGGAAACTTCGCCATTAGAAGCTCAATAAGGAAAACTAATAATAACAATACAATATAAATTTTCTTGAAAGAGACATCACCTAAATTTTTTCTCACTTCGTTTTACAAATGACATCGGACAAATGGCGGCAACCATTTCAAATGCATTGTCTATTTTTTCTTTCCGTTCAACCCACTGAAGCATGCTGATGGGTATATGTAGTCGATGGCGTGGCGTAAGTTGTTCTTCAAATGACGACAGCCATTGTGAACAAATGATTTAAGAGAACTTGCCTTAAATGTTTTCACCCACGTAACAATCGATATCCAATGAGAAACCCGACCTGCCGGACGAATACGGAACCGAGTAAGGGAAAGCTCGCTGAACAGCGAAAATGAAACGGTCGTCAGAACATTAGGCCTCGACAGCAAACGCACGCTGCTCGCTTGTACGATGCACAGTGGCAACTGACTAGGCGGGATACAAAACTTTATGACCTTGCCTTGTTTATGAAATACTTTTAGCACTTTTTCTACAATGTCTGGTTGCTTGGCGAGAAGTACAAAACAGGAAGTTACCGTGAATCACCCTGGACGACTCGACAATAAATTTAATTCATTCCATTCTTAAACTTCATGAGTAGAAATGATGAAAGCCGTTCCAATTTTGGCGTAAAGTTAGTTTCATATAAATCTCGAGTGATTATTATTGATTAATCTCTTGGATAAATTCGTCTCCTTTACCAAGGAAATTTGCCAAAAATAGGACAGCTATTTAACACAATAACCAATACCAATGGGTAATGGGCATATTACGCCATGGAGATAATTATCTTCTAAAATAGGTCGCGGCGAAGAGAGAGAATTTTATTACCAAATCAAGTTGCTAGCCAATACATACCTCGCCGTTATTTTTCGCATTTAATTGCAGTTTGTGATTGATATAAATATCCATGCAATCGAACTTGTAAAGTGGCAAATTCAAATAATGTCATAATTAAGGAAGGTTAAAGCTAAGTAAAGCTTTTATGTTGCAGTCCTGTGATTGACTTCAACTTCACGTCGGGTACCCAAGGCTGGGTGTTGGGGAGCAGCAATGGGGCAGCCTGGAGACGGCAAAACACCAGCGGGGAGTATGCCATTGAAGTTGTGGGGTCACCAGTTATTTCAGGTGTCGTAGTTCGAAGAATACAGGAAGAATAAAATCTGAATAATTTCCTTAAACCTTTTTATGCTGATTTCGAGTTATTTGAATGTTGAGTTGGGTCAGTGAATACTGACAGTAATTCTCGTTCCTGGGGTTATTTCTTGGTCATAATAGCAATTCGTGATTAACACGAATTTCTATAATGTGGGAAATTGCTATTATGTATGTTGGGGATTATACGAATATTCATTTTTCTTAATAAGATTATGGTGAAAGATTGAAGAAATAGCCTTCATGTTTCATATAAATCCATCAATCCATCATATACTCATTATATCATTAGTATGCGAATCTACATATATTTAACAACATCAAAAATCATTTCCTGATATTTATCATTATATTGGTTTAATTATTGAAGTTTCTGCCTATCATGTGCCTACTATTGGTTGGCAGTTCAAAATGAGGTTATTACATTCATTCAGATATATAGCAGATTTTGTTTGACCTAAACAATCAAATAAAAACTGATATGTATAAAATAACGATGTCGTGTTCTGGTATGTTTTTTGATAACTTTGTCTTTGCAGGTGTGGTTTTGGCCACGAGTCCGCGCTTGATCGTGTGGAAGGAAGGCGAAGTGACCGTGTCTGTGACGTTTAGCGTGGAAGGATCTTATGAGTATCCTGCATCCCTCAGAGTTCGACGCTCCTACTCCTACAAGTATGTTCCTACTCCTGCAATGACGCTCCTACTCCCATAAGTAAGCACCTACTCCTGCAATTAAGCTCCTTCTCCTAAAAGTAAGTTCCTACTTTTATAAGGAAGCTCATACTACTGCAATTAAGCTCCTTCTCCTATAAGTAAGCTCCAACTCTTATAAGTAAGCTCATACTAATCCCTGCAATATTAAGCTCCTTCTCCGATCAGCCGTGTCTCCTCTTACTCCGTTCAGCCGAGGTCGAAAGAGGATGCACATATGTTTGTGGTCTGAAATTTTTAACTTCTACTGTGCCGTTTTCGGAACTATTTTCGCATTTTTTATGATCCGTGTCAGAGAATGACTGAATTTCAGTGAAGTCAGTAAACGAGAGTGCGAATAGAAAGAACAAGACTATAGTAAAAGTGTTTTCATTTTAAATAATTCGGACTTGTAGAGTCAGTGAGGGACGATCGCTTGCAGCAAGTGAGGGTAACGTGTGCACTGCTTCGCCCAAGCGGGACAATACAGCCTTTGTTTTCTTGTACAAGCCTACCTCTTCTTTGAACACATAAGCCGCTGAGATCGCCGCTCTCTGAAAGCCACTTACTCTAAAATCTCTAAGAGTTTTTTTTACAGCACTATTGTAATTTGTACAATTTTTACTCAACTTGATTTCGGTTTTTAACTTGAGTTTAATTAGCTCTTGCATTTAAAGATGGCTAGTCAGAGAGGACAAAAATTAATTGAAAAGGCCTCCAGTCCTGTTAAACCAAATGCGAAGATCAATCGCAAAATGAGCGAAAGGAAATTTGTAAATTTGCAAGCTGGTTTTGCTTAACGTCAATGACGCTACAGTGGCCTGTGATCGTTGCGGAGATATCCTCTGCAACAATTGTGCAAAGTTGAGCAAGACTGATTGCTCTGTTATTCGCAGAAACAATTAAGACAGTACACTGGTACTGCCAGGACTGCCAACAACCTGCACTTAGCGCTTTAAAAGGCAAAAAGATGGTGGCAGATAAATGCTCTTCTATTTTTTTCTGTCTTTAAGGCCGAAATGGAAGAAACCAACAAGCAAGAGTTGAGAAAGAGAGCCGAAATGGAGGAGAACCACAAGAAAGAATTGAGCTTGTTGTAGTAGCGAATTACACTCGTTACGAAACGAGCTGGTGGAAATGAAAGATCATCTGCACAAAACAGAAAATAGCGATAACACAGAAGGTAAAGGCCGCAAAGATGTCATCTCTGATCTCGCCAGCGAGAGCACTCGTGAACTGCTGCATAGAGAGAAGAAGACTTAACCTTATTTGGTTTAACGTTACTGAAAGTAATGCTTCGGATGCTGCGTTTATTACTGATTGTTGTGCCAAGGCACTTAACGTCGTTGTGAATATAATGGCATGCAAGAGGCTGCGATCGAAAGACGCTACCACCTGTAGACCGCTGCTGGTGACTGTGCAGGATGCAGCCGAGGTCGGACATGTGCTTAAGGTTGCGAGAAAACTAAGTGAATTCGAGTTTAATTCAGTATTTGTTAAGACGTATGCTACCCCTTAAGAGAGAGCAAATTTTCGTAAGAAATGGCAGGAGAGGCTCAGGTCAAGCACTCTCACGATGTCATGACAACACCGGCCGCACACGGCCAGTCAGCGAAGCTGGAAGACAAGTAAGAAGTCCAGGCCTGTAAATAATAGGCCATAGATCCAGGCCTGTAAATAATGTAAGTAGTAAACGCATGCAGCAAAGTGAGAGTGCACAAAAAAGTTTTAAAATGTTTTTACACAAACTCTGATTGCGTTTTGAACAAATAAGTGAACTATTTACTGTGATCGAAAACGAGTGCATAGACATTATTTGTATTACAGAAACACTCCCTAAAATTCACGGGGGAAATTGTACCTGTTGAATTTCAGTTGCCAGGTTTTGATTGTCTTCATAACTTAAATGAAGAGCGGTGCAGTAGAGGTGTAGCTTTGTGGGTTAGAACCTCTTATGGGGCACAACAAATCAAGTTATCTGCAGAGCATCAATCAGCTAGAGAATCAGTGTGGTGCGAACTTTCTCTCAAAGGCAAAGATAACCTCCTCAAAGGCGTCGTGTATAGATTACCAAACAGTTCCTCTGATAACGATAAAGTACTAAACAGTCTTTTACCGAGCATGTCTTTCCGTAGGTCACACACGTTGATCGTTGGTGATTTTAATCATGCAGAGCTAGACTGGACAGATGGATCCGCTCCAAGGACAGATGAATCACCCAACATCCTTCCTTGTTCATGGAGTCTGTGAGAGACTCCTTCGTAGTCCAGCATGTTACCAAGCCAACCCATTATAGAAGTAAACAGACTCCCAATTCAAGACCTGGTGTTTAATCGTGATGAATCAATGTTAGATGAGCTTCGTCACGAAGCTCCATTGGGCAAAAGCCATCACCAATTATTTTTTTTTCAGTCTTGAGTGCTGTACAGAAAAGAAGCCTCAGAAGCGTGAGCGTTTGAATTTTGCGAAAGGCGAATATGATTAACTCCGCGAAGAAGTGAATGCAGTGAATATTTTGAACTGTATTAAAGATATGAATGTGGCTGAGTTATGGTCATTTCTCAAGGACACGGTTGCGTCTGCAGTTGATGAGTGTGTACCTGAAATTTAGCTTGGTGGAGCCAAAAAAACTCAGTGGATGAACAGTACAGTTCTAGCTAAGCTGAAAACGAAGAAGGAAGCATACCAGCGTTATTTACAGACTCGTAGCGTTGCTGATTATAACCTAGAGCTCGAAATCAAGCTAAAGAAAGCTGTCGCACGCAGTAAAAACCCTCGAAAAAAATATTACTAAAAATTTAAAAAGGAACCCAAAAGCCTTCTTTTTGTACGCTAGCAAGATAAGTGCAAGATAATGGACGGTATTTCTGATTTGAAAGTAGATCAACGAAAGATATCCTCTGATGAGGGCAAGGCTGACGTCCTTAATCAGTTTTTCAGTAGCGTATTTACTGATGAGTACTTGAACAGTATTCCAGCTATTGAGGAGGACCCAGTCGGCTCTATATTAATAGATTCGAAATAAAAGAAGAAGAGGTTCTCAAGCGCCTAATCGCTGTAAATCCAAACAAGTCATGTGGACCGGACGGCTTCCACCCCATATTACTCAAAGAGTCAGCAACTGTAGTAGCCGGCCCTCTGACATAATTAAAAAAAAAATTTGAGCGAAGGGATCTTGCAGACTGACTGGAAAGAAGCTCAAATGACACCATTGTTCAAAAAAGGTGGCAAAAGCTGCCCGGGCAACTATCGCCTTGTCAGTTGGACAAGTTTCGTTTGCGAGGTGATGGAATCTGTTGTGAGGGATCGATTGATGGATCATTTGACTGCTAATAATCTCCTATTAGACTGTCAACATGGCTTTATTGCCGGGATATCCTGCACCACTAACCTCTTGTCTACTCTGAACGAATGAAGCCGCCTGCTTGACGAAAGGGACCCAGTAGATGCAGTGTACCTCGATTTTGCCAAGGCATTTGACAGTGTCCCACATGAGCGGCTGTTGCGTAAATTGAAGTCTTTGGGAATTGAGAGTAATGTACTCTAATCTAATGGATCAGAGATTTTCTAGTAGGGAGACGACAACGTGTCGGTATTAATGGGTCCGTATCAGACTGGGCTTCAGTGCGCAGCGGCGTGCCACAAGGAAGCGTTTTCGGGCCTGTTTTATTCGTTGCGTTTATAAACGATCTGCCAGAAGCTGTGTCTAGCGTGTGCTCGATGTATGCTGACAACACAAAAGTTTATAATACAGTGAAAAATACGTCGCAAAAAGTACAGTTGTAAGGTGATCTTGACAGGTTGGTTGACTGGGCTGATAAGTGGCAGCTGCGTTTTAACGCTGACAAGTGTAAAGTAATCCACCTTGGCAAGAATAATGAACAGAATGATTACAGTATGAGAATACATGGTTGCAACGACAGAGTGATGATGTCGAAGTTGACAATGGAAAAAGATTTAGAAGTTAATATCGACAATGAGTTGAAATTTTCTAAGCATATTGAAGGTCAAGGTAATAAAGCAAATAAATGACTTGGACTGATCAGAAGCTCCTACGAGTACATAGATGCTGAAGCGATGAAACTGTTGTTTGTCGCTGTCTGTCGTGCGTCCGAACCTAGAGTTTGGAAACGCCGTGTGGTCACTAAAACTAGAAAAGGATGAAAATGTAGTCAAGAGTGTTCAAAGACGTGCAACAAGGATAATTCCGGGTTTAGAAGGCAAGTCTTATGAAGAAAGGTTAAAAGATTATGAAGCTTCCAAGCCTCTGTTAACGACGTCTGCTTGGTGACCTTATTGAAGTATACAAGTATACCCACGGTTTATACAAGGCCCCAGAAGGATTACTAGAATTTGAAACAAGAACCAACACCAAGGGCCACTGCTATAAACTGAAAAATGCGTTGTAGCACATCCATGCGACAACATTTTCTTCTCGCTTCGAGTCATCGACATGTGGAACAGCCTCTCTGATAGCATCGTTGACGCTCTGAGTATGAACGCCTTCAAGAACTGACTAGACGAAGCTATGTAGGAGCATATGTTCAGTCTTAAAATGCCTAGCACCTTACGAACCAGGCAATAAGTCCAGCAGCTATCTCAATCAATCGTCAGTTATGGACAGATCGGGTTCCAAAGGCCGGATACCCTGTGAATCAAGTCACGAAAAGTACATGAATTGGCAACAGGCCATGGGAATATTTTTCAGTGTCGATACTTCTATTATATTCTAATCTACTCCTATAAGTAAGCTCCTACTCCTGCAATTAAGCTCACACTCTTATAAATATGCTCCTACTCCTAAAAGTAAGCTACTACTCTTATAAGTAAGCTAATACTCCTGCAAATAAACTACTACTCCTATAAGTAAGTTCATACTACTGCAAGTAAGCTGCTACTCCTGCAAGTAAGCTCTTGTTTCCTACAAGAAAGTTCACAGTCCTACAGGTAATATTCCTCCCATACAAGGTGAAGCTGTAAAAAAGAAACTTCTTCTCCTACCGGTAAGGTGTTACGCGAAAATATTAGAGTTAAAAAAGGCAGATGGCGAGTTTTATTTTATTATTGAATTGGTGCTTTTAGTTTACTTGAGTGAAATTCTTTCCTCATAAATGTAAAAAAATCTATCGCAAAGTAAGCAAGGATTTTTTTTCTCAAAAAAATAAATAAGGATAAGAATATTTTCTTGTCTATACTTGTACCGGAAGATCAGTTGTAACAAGCAGAAAGTTATTTATCGCAGATAATAAGAAACGAGGAAGTGTTTCATCAAAAGTGACTTGAGATATATGATGAAAAGAGGGTTCTCTTCATCATATAAGCTGGAGTAATTTTTCAGAGAGCTTACACGTTTTGTTGTCACATCTTCCTTTGCGCAGTTGATGAGGGGATTTTCTTGTCGAAAAATGAAGGATCTCTTTTTACAACCGATGCTAGATTTGTCTCGGAATGTATATCTAGACGGTTTTTATATGCATCATTCAAAATCATTCGTTTCAAGAAGAAAAAAATGTAAAACTAAGTTCAAGCTTCATTCTGCCAAAAAATAGAAATATTTTTCGGTGAAATTATGCTCCTGAACGAATATAGCCAATATTAATTATTTTTTCTAAGATGCACGATCTTAGACTGAAATTACGGAAAGAATATAAATTTTTATACCAAACTGAACTCCCGCACCAATTACTTGACAAAACTGCTCTATTTAAATTGTAAATTGATTCATGCTCAATCACTAATCCTCAGTAACTTCGACCCTAATCCCGCAATTTCGATGGATGACTTCGGAACGAACGGTACCTTCGGTTACGAGACCTACACCGACACATTCCGCAACCTGGTGCCCGGCGAAAAATTCTTCATTGTTTTGGGTGAGACTACTATTATTCAGGAGATTTTGATCAAATTGATGTTTTGTACTTGCTGCGTCAGTTCCTAATTTTTCGTTAGTCATAATATTGAAAATCCTGGGCAGATTTCGTGCCAATGACTATATACCGGAATACTGACTGTTGGCATCACGTACTTGAATATGACAGCAAGAATTTTAAACATGCAATTGGTTTCTATGCATCAGATTAAAATCTCATCATTTGGCTTCATTTTGTTTTACTGATGAGTGAAAGGCTGTTGATTTAAAATAAAATTTCATTCAGTCTGCAAGCAAACAAATTTGCTGGGCATAGAATTATTTTTTGAGCTGTTGATACTCATAAATGAAGGCTTTGGGCTCAGTTAATTTTACGAATAAAGGCTTCTTAGTTTAATCGTATGAATTAATTACAAATATTGTCATTAAGACCTTTCTCATGCCATCATCGTATATAAATTTTGTGACATGGATGATTCGACTGATAAATAGTGTTATAATTTTAGCATATTCCAACGGTTTAGTTGAATAATTGAACAAACAAATGAGCAGTAATATTAGGAAGTTATCTTATATATCATGAAATGCAATTCACCATGCCAATTAGATAATGATTACAAGATAATAATGTGATGACAACAATATTTCAGAGGGGTCGCTGGGCATTGACCAGGGCAACGTAATCTCTGTTACGGCGATGCAGCTCGTGGGCGCCTCGCCATACCCCGTGCCTGAGCAGGACTTCTTCGACTTCCATGGCGGCCTTGTGGGTCGGTAAATTTATTTAAAAGGAATACGTAATATTTTGTAGAGTTATTTGGGAGGAGGGAATCACTTCACCAAAACATAAGTTCTCTTCCAGGGCGGTCTTGTGGATCGGTAAATGGAATACGGAATAATTTGTAGAGTTCTTTGGGAGAGGGAAATTACTTCACCAAAACATGTGTTCTCTTCCATGGTGGGCTTGTGGGTCTGTAAAAGGAAGACCAAATATTTCCTTGTTTTATATGAGTGGAAAAATATTTTATTTTTTGTTCTTTAAGTTATTTTTCTTTAATCTAGAATTTTTTCTTTTAATTTATTTCTAAAGATCATGTTTATTGATAAACAAGTAAATGAAGAAAAATATCCGCTAAGCATTTTTGCGCAACGAATTTCAGTATAATATAAATTATTGTGTATATTCCGTTAAAGGAATTGTGTAGAGAATTTTGAATTTTAGGGTAGTGAGCCAGATGCCAATAAAATTCAGAAATGCAACATAACAGATTAGCTTATGCTCGTGAAATTCGTTTACACAAAAATTTACTAGCTTAAAATAAGAAAAAAACATACTGCATACTGGCAGCATATTTTCCTATCGATTTACGCCACAGTACCAAGTTTATCCAATTCAAAAACACGTTCATTTTATTCAAGACAATTGTTTTATAATTTTTGAGTACGTGAACTACTGATTTGCTGAAATGAGTTGAACAACTCAAAAAGTTTTTTCCCCAAAACCTAATAAAATTTGTTCATTGAAGGTTGGTCACAAGGCAACATGGACGGTGGCAGGTGGCAGGTGGAAGACTACCGAAAAGTAGGCGTGACCATCCCCAAGCCCACTGGGCTCAACGTTCTCTACGTCGACAGATACGACATTTTCAGCGGTTGGTGATTAAAACTTCTGTGAACTAAGTGCAAGATATCAAATACTTAGGTTTCCGTGAGGCCTCAAGAAAATTTCAAAGAATTCCTCTTATGAGTATTATTTGATTGAAAACTCATCACTATTGTCTGTAGTCTCTCCAACTAGCAGTTAAGTCAGCATTATAACATGTGAGAACAGCAGATTAACCATTGTTACCCGGGCTGAGGATTTAAAAGGGCAATAAACAATTTCAGTAAAATTGTTCGAGCATTTTTTTCTGGTTTGCTTGTTTTTTTAACTGTTTTTGTTATGTTTTGACTTTCTGGCAAGACTAATTTTCGTTAAATTATTTGAAACAACATTTCGATGTGAGAAAAAAGGTATCGACACATTTTATTTTTTATTATCTTGTCATTGTAGAAACTAACTACACCTGATCGATTAAATTTTTTCAGATTAATCGTGTGAAATAACTAGATAGTATTATCTGGCGGCACTTACCGGCCTGTTCTAACAAACATAGATATTATAATTGTACTCCACCACCAGGCGTGATGACCATCGAGTCTCCTCCCCTCTCCACCATCACCGGCTCAAACAAGACTATCAGCGTCCGGGTCTCGGTTCGAGGCAGCCACGACAACCCAGTATCTTTGAGGTGATAGTAATAGTCATAGCGGTGTCAGCGTTGGATAGGAGAAGTATGGACTCTTGATGATGCTTGACATCACGGAATACTTACAGCTAGGTGGGGTTTTGAGCCCGCAACTTACTGCTCCAATTCGACTGTTTCCAACCACCCGGCTACCTAATCAATTTTAACTTTAACTGTCATAGGAAGCTGGTATCAAATACGCAACTCACTGCTAGCAAACCTCCTTGTTATCTGAACTTTAACCAATGGGCCACCCTGCCTACACATCGTCGAGCCGCGTTAAATCTTGAACGATACTCAAACCTTGAATCAAGTCGTCATACTACATCAGATATGCTGCGAGTTGTTTTATGTGTTGCGAGAGTTTTTATTTCTGTACATGATACGAAGCTTTTGTGGGAATTATTTTACTAAAGTTTTTTTAAATTGATAAGGCTATTGGTTTGAATCCTATGTGTGAAACTGAAACTGACTTATATTTTTGAAGTCTCTGTGACATACGGAACTGGAACTTTAATTCCGTGTAAGTGGGATAGGATTGAGCCTATCACAACAGTTTGTCTAAACAGCTTACCCGGTTACCGATCCTTTACCAAAAATCTCATTTCGAATCTTGAACATCAAAATTGATCAATTACCCCTAAATAAAACCTGATCATTTACTCACAACATTATATCGAATCTTGGCCATCAAAAATTTGAGCAGTCTACCGATCAAAAACCTGACTGTTTACCCTGAATCTTGACCATCAAAATCATGGGTTAACGAACATTTACCTCGATTGACCGTGCACTTTTTAACCGAGAACTGAGGGCTTACTCCCTATTACTTCTTCACCGCTCATATCTTTCAGCATATAAGTTACTGGTTTCGTCTCTAATAGTTTAGAGATGACAAATAAGTTACGTGTGAAATTAGGCAGATATCCTTTATTAAAATCCTTACGTTTAATACTAATTCTAACACGATCTTCAATATTTAGGCTTTCTTACAACCGTACTTATCTCGGTGAACAAATTTGCATAGACTATATTACTGTTCTGTTCAAGTGAAACTTCAAGTCTAGTCATTTTTATTGATCTATGATAACTATTGATATAATTATCAACTAAATCTGGTAAAATATCTTCCCACTCTTTTGTCTTGGCGTACGTGAAATATTTCCACATTTTTGTCTTGAGAGTTCGGTTAAATCTCTCAACAACTTGAGCTTTAGTTTCATTTTCAGTTGCAAGCTATTGAATTTCAAACTTTTTGAATAACTCTTTTGTCGGCTTGTTAATGAACTCTAGACCTTTGTCTGTTTGAAATTTAGAGGGAATTTGTTCACTGAAAAGCTTTTGGAAAGAAGTTTTAATCTCTCCACCAGTTTTTCTACATATAGGAACTGCCCATGCATGTTTGCTAAAGACGTAAATCAAAGCTAGAACGTAATTTTTACCTTTATCTGTATACTTCTGCAAGACATCTAAATCTGAAGGCCATTGATCATCGATCTTTGTTACTTTGACTCTTCTTGTGATGAATATATTTTATTGATTTATGTAGAGTGTGTGTTTCATGTGACTCCAACTAATTCGTGACTTTCTTTCGAGATAAACTACTCCTACGAACGAGTTCATTTGTCCCCACGTAGCCGGTTTTAGGATCGTAAAATAATTGCCATAGAATTTTACCACTCATTGGACTTTTACGTTTTATTGATACTCTAAGACATACACATTTTTTACAGCCATTATAGTATTAACTAATTATGCATCAATTCTAATATATTCAGGTTCATTAGGATCTATCGCAATTTCAGCAGCTTTTTTTCGCTAGGATATCATCAGACTGTCTCTAGTTTTTGAATGTGTACTATAAAATATATCATGCTCTCTACAAGCTATATCCAATGAATTAGTCATTTTTCAGAATAAGTCATTTTTCCACCCTAGTGCCAGGACCACAGAAGGAGTAGGTATGCTTATTATTGAAAGAACCGTTGGGAACTTGCTCAGATTGAATGTTGAAGGTAATTTTAAATGCATTTCTGGCAGTGGTAATTTCCTCAACATTGTGTTAAAAATGCCGCTTCCAGTTTTTTCATTACGAAGATATGATTTCATCTGGTTTAATTAACCACTCACTATTATCGGTTGATGGTAGCTCAGGATAGCTAGTCGATAGTTATCATTTTTATTAGATTATTTTATAAAGACTTCTATCAGCTTGCATTAGGGTACGCACACAGTGAAAGCAGGTTTGCCCGCGCGGGCAACCTGCTCCAACCTGCCACAAGAATGAACATAGGATAATAATGTAAGTGTTCACAGTGAAAACCTGTACGAATAGGCTTCTGTATTCTATGGTTTCAGGCGCCAGCCTGAGCAGGTAACCAGCACGCTGGCAACCTGCTTTAACTGTGTGCGTACCCTTACAGTGGTTCAATGGTAGCGAATTGATACCGTCTGCTAATAAATGTCTTTTATCATCGTCACCATTCAGTGCAATTTTATTAATTACTTTCGTATAATTCATGATTATCACTTGGATATCATACAATGTTTTATATATTGCCTCATTATTCAAGGCTCTCATATATTCATCCATGGTTGTATTCCTTTCAATTACATTTCTCTTTATACCTTTAGCATTTTTAGCTACAGAACATTTTATTCGATAACAATACAGCTTTGCCCGAAGACCTACAAATTCTTCTATGGGAATGCAGCTAGTTTCATCTTTCATTTCACCGATTACTTTTTTGTTTTGATTTGAGTAGAGGAAATGATCCTTAGGATAATTCGAAGTATCAAATAAGTCTTGATTATCCCTCATATCTTCATAGAAGTCAGCGGTTTTTATGTCATAGCAAAGCGAGTCTGTATCTGTGAACAATAGCTTTGCTCTATCACCATATTCTTCACTAATGAAATTGTAATGAAAATCATTTATCAATGCCATGCTCATATCTAGTATGCTCATCCCTACATGAATAGGTTTATAAAATTTAAGCTTTTGTTTTTGCATGACTATCCGGTTTTCCGAGAATAGTTTTTTTGACGAACTAATCTTGAATCCCCGAATAGCCAATTATTCGCGTCACCTCAGAAGTTCGAATGGTCTAATAGTCACGTCCACCAATGACCGGAAATTGAATGCAACTTCCCTACTGGCCTAATCAGCATAAAGCTAGGACCGAGCGGATAGTTACTCAAACAAACCTTCTTAAATTTATTCATTAAAGATAAACGGCAAATTGAAACTAAACAAATCAAACAGGTGCGGCACATGAATTAAACGAACTAACAAATTAAATGCTTAGGAAGCTGAAGTGCGACGAGAGCAAAATGCGAGGAGAGAGCTTACGCATGGAGATCTGAGAAAACGCACGATCCTACAACAGAAAACAAAAAGTTAATATCTACACATGACAAGTCGCTATATACACAAAAATCACGATATTCCATCAATTATTCCAAGCTAAATTTCACCGCCATAGCACGCAACTCACCCTGGCGTCTGAGTCAAAAACCTATAAGAGATGAACCAGGACGCAAGTCGGGATCGGCATTGTATCTGACGGCTATACTCAATTTAACACCCACGTCAAAGTCGGTCATACTTAAACTTAGTAGTCTGACATACAGTAGTGGGAAATTTGCAGCAACACTTCATTACAGTTTAAATCCTTTTAAATTAGGTTTATTAATTAATCTTCTCCATTCTTGTTTAGTCTTAACCAAATTAACTTCGACTCGGTTTCTTATGTTCTCCATCGTTTTACCAAATACAGAATTATTCATTAACTTAGAGAAATCTTTGTCAAAATCTGATTTCGCTTATTATCACTTTTTTTGTGTTCAGCTCTATATATGGCTCTATCCATGGACTTTCATCGAATTCTAATATTCTATGAATTTTCTCTAGTTTTAATCCAAGTTTCTCATAGTTTTAAGTTACTGTAATGGATTACATATTTTTCACGCTTACCTTATAGTTTTCTTTAGTAAACTCTTCATGACAGACATAGCAAACTGTAGTATTTCTGTGTTCGTGATATTTCTCGGTTGATATGAACATCTTTTTCGGATATTGATTTAATAATTCATACACAAGTTTTGTTTCTTCTTCTAGATATTTCGCAAAATTTAGGACGCATCTCTACCATTATATAACTCCAACTCTGAGTGCCTATCATCTCCGCATTTAATATCGCAACAGAAACTATTTGGCTCATGTTTATTTATATTCCGCGTATAATTCAACTTTCGGTTTGGTTGACTTGAATCAATACCTACCATAGTCGATTCAAAATCAACGTATATTACAAAGGGATGTTTGTCTGTTGAAAGGTCTTGAATTTTAGCTTTTTATCACTAAAAACATATATGTGAGGGGTGTGTGAATAGAGCGATCATTTTTATGTTCTTCAAGTATAGGCCTTCGCTTATGAATGCATGCAGGCAGTATGGACATACATATTTAGTTCTATGACTCGCCTTGTGAATAAATGGACTTAAAGACTACATCAAGACATGACTTCCATTCTCATTTGTAATTAACAATAACGGAACCACATCTTTATTTTTAGTTTTAGTTATTCGAAGTGGGAATAGCTCCAAACAATAACTCAAGCCATATAAATTTATAGATATATTATAATCTTTTCACATTTATCGATGTTTTTAATTTTCACAGGGAATTTGATATCTGCGAATTCGAACTCTTCAGCTTTCTTCTTTAATATTTTTGTTATTCCGTTACAATTTTTTTAATCCCTGAAGAAGTGGCGCGTGACCGTCCACTTAAAGCACACATTATCTTGGTTTTGAATATTTATTAACTTATATTTGGATGTCTCAATTGTTCTCGTAATTCTATATAACTAGAACCTCTTAAAGGTTTGTATTCAACAATTTCGATTGTGAAGTATAGCAACTTGTTTAATATCCATCCAGAAGAGTTATTCGTAAATTCTTCGATTCTATGTATCAGATTATCATACAGTCCTTTAATTGTACTTAAATTTATGCGAATCCTTGGAAGTTCTTTATACCTGTTTGAATTGAACCAAGCGGTATTATAAGCTTTCGCGTTACCTAATTTTGACTGCTTAATTGCTTGAATATCTTCAGATGTTATATTTTTGAGAAATAACTTCGGATCGATAGTTATTATATCATGATATATATGTTCTGCGCATTTATCATTTATAGACTACTTAATTTCACCTCGCATGCATTCAAAATTATTTTTAAAATGTACATTTGAATCTTCATGCGCTCCGATATCATCCACTTCTTAATTGCAAAGATTACAATAAAAGAAATAATTGGCTAATATGCTATAATTTAAACGATTTCTATGGACGTTTGTTTGTTCATACCTTTCTAAGTTTTGAACTTCGCGATTACATATTACGCATTTTGTCTTTGTATTAAAGTATTCATGTGATATGATCGATTGTTATTTGCTTTCCGATGCCTTTGAGTTTCTATATGTTTTTTTAGGTTTTTTAACTATCTGTGTCACAAACTTCACAATGGTTTATGCTGACAATACATGCTTTTATTTACTTAAAATATGTATCCAAAGAGAATTCACATTAAATGTATGTTTTTTCGCATGATTTACATTAGACGATTCGTTAGCTCTCATTTTATATAGAAAAAAATTAGAAGCATATTGAAAAATTATTGATTTGATCTCTTTGATAAAATAGAGACGGGTTATAAAACACAACATTTGAGATATAGCTTGATACTGAATGTGGGTGGTGACTTGATGCTTGAATTGGTGATGCCTGTTGACCTCCTGGAGTTACAGTGATGGAGAGGTGACGCCTAGTAATCGGTGGTCTTGGTTCGTGGGTTTGAGTCGGTTGCGTGCTGTTAATAATGGTGCCTTGTGGTCGGTGCGTATAGCTTACCATGAGCTGGAGCAGCGCTGGCCGGATGCGCTCGGCGAGCGCGGGCTAATGACCTTATTGGTTATGCGCTCGGCGAGCGCAGGCTAGTGACCTAATTGGTTATTCGCTCGCTATATCCATCTCCTGTGCTTCTAATTTCCGCTCATTGGCAAATGGGTATGATGTCTAAATAAGTTAGTGATATCCCTTTGCTTTTTGAAAAGTTGAGGGAGGGATAAGGATAAGTTTTTAAGTTTTTTAAACCGATATCCGAGTTTACCAATCCATCGAAGTCGATTTGCGAAGGATATGCTGATGCCTATATGGTCAGCTAACAATGTTTGTAAGGTAGGTTGTGTAACTTTGATTTCCTCCGCACACACATATTCATTGAAGTATTTTTCCCACAAAAGGCGTAGGAAATATCCGAAGAGCATTAATTTTGATCTACAGGAAGAGCTTTTTGCTGTGATTTTATTGCGTTTTTAAATCTCACCAAATAACCGAAAATTTCGTCATAATTATCACAAGTAGAAGCAGGAGGTTCAATATTTTGGTAATGTTGATTGTCAAATACATGCGTTTTTAACCAATTATTTAGTTTCGCTGGTGTTTTAATTCTGCTTCTCTTCATTACATTGAACACTTGTCTAACGAATTGACGAAGATTTTTTGGAATGTCATTTCTATCTTTGATATGCTTGTTTGATATGCTTGATATAACTGTTTGATATGCTTGAGCGTCTGCTATCGCATAATCGATCATTGCTACAACTTATATCAGTTAAGACCGTGCTTTTCTCAACTTATTTACTTTCACTGAATCTCCGTCACACTATCTCCGTCATCACTTTTTTTCTCGAATTTTCACAAAATATGCTGCAACTTATGTGTATGAGAATGGTGATCTGATGCGGTCGTTCTCCGAAGTGGTAATGTCTCGCAATGAGCATGAGCATTTCTCTATAAAGTGTTACTCGCGTGATTTTAAATAGGCAACACTTATTCGCTGGAACTGATAGGACGCGCTTTGTTAGGGGTTCCGGAAATGACTCGTGAGAGAGGCGCGTTTGCTCTGCATAAATATATGAATTGAGCTGGTGATACACACTAGCAGTATACTGTTTCAGCATTCATGATTACACTGTAGGAAATTATATATCCCGCAGAAGTATTTTTTCCAACATCCGCTCTTTGTGAAGCCCTGAGTTATCGGTTAAAATGTTTTCGGTCAATCGGGGTAAATGGTCGTTAACCCATGATTTTGATGTTCAAGATTCAGGGTAAATGGTCAGGCTTTTGATCGGAAGACATTGCTAAAATTTTTGATCGCAAAGATTCGAAATAAGATTTTTTGTAAATGATCAGGTTTTTAGGGGTAATTAATAAATTTTGATGGTCAAGATTCGAAATAAGATTTTGGGTAAATGATCGGTACTGTTAAGCTGTTTAGATAAACTGTTTTGATAGGCTCACTCCTATACTACTGATGAGGATATTAGTTTGAATCCTATGTGTGAAACTGAAACTGACTTATATTTTTGAAGGCTTTGTGAGACATGGAACTGGAACTTTGATTCCATGTACATTAGAATTGAACATAAAATGTGCGAAAGTTCTTTCGAATTCAGGGGAGAAATAGAGATTTGAACTTGAACTTTAAAAAAAGTTTACGTTGAAGTTCATAAGAAGTTCGAGCTCGAACTGAAATTAAAAAATATATTGTTGAGAATTACAATGATCATTGATCTCTAAAAATGGAATAATTGAGGTAAAGCAAAGCAATCAGATCAAATGATTAAAAATTATAATATTATTAACTGTATAACTTGTTAAATGTTAAAAATGCAAACATTCAAAACTTGATGTACTATAATGCTCTTTTATTGTTGTTACATCTTTTTAATTAGAGTTGTTATTTCAGATCTTGCTTTAAAATAAACGGTTTCCAACAAAATTTTTTAACGTATAAGGACTCATGAAATGAATCCACCAATCTGTCTTCTATAGATGTTAAATTTTTTGTTCTAGCTAGGCAAGTGCTAGTGTAATAGAAGAGTAATGGTTTTGCAGCGGACATCAGTCAAAGTCATAAGTCGAATTTGTCTGAAAAAAGACTACCGTACTTCTAATTAAGTTGTTAGATCACAAGACGAAGGCTCAAAAACGTCATTGCTCCGTGGACTGAAGCTAGTTTACACGGAAACTTTTTTTCATTTGGCTGCACAAAGCTGAATTCCAAGAAATCTCTGTAGCGACAAAGTTTCATTAATAAAATATTCCAAGTGTTCGTGATGAAAAAAAAACTACTAGAAGATTCGAAAGAAATACAATTTCTAACCATCAAGCCAGTGAAATAGAATTACTAATGACGTGTCGTTTGGCCTTTTAGACTGCGAGCCAAATCTCTGGACGGAGACTACGATAACCTTCCCTTCGTCTCGGTGCTCGTGAAGGCTGACAACTTGAACTGGCAGGTCGTGACGGCAAGCTACCAAGTATACAACGAGTTCTTCCAGGTAACTGAGTCATTGAATTTTTTTACCTAGCGTCTTCTATATACATCTTAACAAAATTAAAGTATTTGTTGCATTTTTAAAAACTTTTGGAAAAATTATGTATTAATATTTCAGTAAGTGTTAAAAAATCTAACTTTGCCTAATTTTCTCATCCAATTTATTCCCAAACATTAACTATTCATAAACACGAATTCTAATACAACAAAATTGAAATTATTCTTACCTAACAGAAGAAATAATTCGATTGATAGATATGGTTATAGCCAATTATAAAATAGGAAGATCTAAGGCTATTGAAGATGGACACTAATTCAGAAATTGTTTTTTTCCGAAATTTCTATAGTGAAAATAAAATGAAACAAGTCAATAAGCAACCGAAAGAATTGTATGAACAAAAATAAATTTGTTTAAGTATTTTAGTGGTTATTAAATCTAATTTTTATAATCTGTTTCCACTCCTAATATTACTAAATTAATCAATGAGAAATAATGATGGGTAATAGAAGTACAAAACAAAATCTTTATTTCCTAAAACTTAGTTGTGAAAAAGTATGTTATAGATGCGCAATGATCACGATTATGATTATGACGATGAAAACATGACAATTATTTGGCCAAAAATATTTATTATTCTTTTCAAAATTATACAATTTGTCTCGTAATATTCATGAATATTTTCTAAAATAGTGATGAATTTTCCCTCACAGCTCGTGATCGAGGCTGATCTTGGCAGGGGCAGTTCAAACTTCATCGCCATCGACACGATTTCCGTCAGATCCGATGATCCGATCACTGATAGTCCTACCACTGATGATACAACCACGTATGGTACTACCACTGATGGTGCTACCACTGATGGTACTACCACTGATGATACTACCACTGATGATACTAACACTGATGGTGCTACCACTGATGATACTATGATGATACTACCACTGATGGTGCTACCACTGATGATACTACCACTGATGATACTACCACTGATGCTGCTACCATTGATGATACTACCACTGATGCTACTACCACTGATGATTCTACCACTGATGCTACTACCACTAATGGTGCTACCACTGATGATACTACCACTGATACTACCGCTGATGGTACTACCACTAACGGTATCACTGATGGTACTACCACCGATGCTACTACCACTGATGCTACTACCGCTGATGGTACTACCACTAATGGTATCACTGATGGTACTACCACTGCAGGTACTACCACGGCAGGTACGACCACTAATATTACGATCGGTGAAAGTACAATCACTGAAAATCCGACATCCAATGAGACAACAATCAGAGCAGGAAGATTCGACAACTATGATTGGGAATGATAGGCCGCAAGTTTATACATAACTCTGTCGCCTTCAGCCAAAATTCGTCACCCGCTAACAAACTTTTTTACCTGAAACCAAATTTCACCACCAAATCCAAACTTCTTTGCCCTCAAACATAATTCGTCACCTAGAAATAAAATTTTATCAAAGTAATAAGTAAGTAAAACCAGGAATGAAGAGCGCTGATTTGCTGCTAATGTATCGTGAATAGTACTTCTTCTCTGATAATAAACTCAAGCCATACCGATCGCGGATTATTAACCTGCTATCTTCAAGCTGTAGTTACAATTACCTCGTATATTTGGCCGCCTATCAAAAGGGAATTGTTTATTGCTATGTTATGTTGTGAGACAGGAACTATTGGACATTACCCGAGTCAGTAGTCACGACAGGCTATGTCAAGCCTGTCAAAGTTACGCGCAGGCAACATTAACGCAGCCTGACGGTAAGAGAAGTTTGCTTCAAGAGTAGTTGATTTATTTTCTTAAAGGCAATAGTAGAAATAGCAAAGGCAACAAACAATGGTAGAGTACAAACAAACTTTACAGCCCTCCTAAGGAAAGAGGTCCAATTTTCAAATTGCAATCTTATTTGGTTTAAACTACAGAGAAATAAGCTACCACAGTCTCAACAAGCGACTTTCAAATTCGCAACTCTATCGAAATTTATCCACTTATAGGGTTCAAGTTAATTTTACGTTATCGTAAACGAAAAAAACTGTAATTCTATGATATTTATACACTCAGAAAAGTTAATGAGACTTAGTCGAGGCGGTTACAATGCCATTTTTGGCCTTATATGCGGCTAATACTGACCCAAATTGGCGCGGAAACCAGGGACCATACATTCAAAACTCGCTAAGTGAACGTAAGTACTTCGCTCTATTTTCTTGTTCATTTTTGGTGGATTTTGCTTAAAAGGCCGTCAATGATTGGCTGATGAACTTACGATCTATTAACTTTTTTTTAAAGTGTAGGCCCAGCGAATTAGTGCTGCATACACTCTCTCTCTCTTTCTCTCTCCATGCGCAGTGGGTATGAAAACATTTGGATAATATTGTGAAAAAATATTTGGAAAATGTAACACATTCGATTTTCTGAGTATTGACAATAAGTGGGATCATGTCTACAAATATTGTGCTCATGACTGGACTTGATATCCATGGTACATTATCACAGTGCATGTCAGACAAAACGTAACGGAAGGATACTTTTCATACTCAACAGAAGAAAAATTATATCTTAAATTAAAAATTAATTATATATTTTATGATATATAAATATATTACATTATAAAAAATTATATACCCCAAAAATCATATCCGATTATGTAAATTGGAATTTACTTATTGGTGCAAGTCACACTAAAAAAACATTCGTGCACTAAATTAAGCCAAAGCTCCGTGACAATATAATATCTTTTTTTGTAGCTCAGCAAAATAAGTGATCACGTAGCTTGCTGCTATGGCTGTAATCCGATGACATTAAAATTTCAAGTGCCTCGTGAATTGAACGCGCACTTCATCAACGTTGTTTTCGTGATAATCATTATTTAGTTTCCTCGCCAAATTGAATGTTTCCTGAGATTGTTTTTAAAGCTCATTTTATTTAATCTCCCTCCTCAAAAAAATTTATCTGCTGCGTTTCATATTGAACTAATGCTGTCATTTTTTTAAATGCCAATGAATTAATGCTATTGTCTAAGATGAAAATCCAAAACTACGGCTTTAAAATGCTACTATACTTTAATTTGACGTGCAAGTGGCGATTTTTTGGTTATCGCACTGCCGAACAGCGATAATTCTCCGCATGCTCAAAGAATTATGCTTCATGTCTAAGTTTTTGTGAGACGTCGCCAGGATTTTGCTTCGCAGTCTCGACTGATGTCAGAGGTTAGGGGCTCTGGCGCCAGTTTTCCTTCAGTATTGCGTCCGACGCGGTCGCGGTAATACGGTGCTTTGTTGACTGTCTCGTTGGAAATGAGTGTTTCCTAGGAAAAATCTGGATGTAGTTCTACTAAACTTAGTCCATTCAGTTTGCGTTCTAATGAATTGAACCCTTATTACTCAATTGTTTAGTGTGATTCGCATGACCTATTCTGTTGTACTAAAAACAATATTTTCTTAACCTCAATGACATGCAGTTTGTCTTCTGCAGCAAATTTTATCTTAACTTTCCGGTATCAATGGAAAGTTGATGTTCGCGTAACTCGTAACACGAGGGTTCAAAGTTAATTAAATGTTAGACTTAGACACCGTAGACTTTTCTCATGTTTCGAAATGTGAATATGTATGTATGTATGTATTATATTTATATCAATTACTCAATTATATTTATATAATATATGATTTAATATATATTATATTATATTATATATATATAACTTATATAATTGAGTAATATAATTTTTATATTACTCCGTTATATTTATTTCAATTTAAATCCTAACATTAGTTCAGTTTTCCAGCTTAATGATTAGACATTAAGTGACGTAACGACCAAGGAATGAAACTGTTCAAAGTCCATAAAGCCAAAGAATATGGCTTCTCAACATAAAAAATGTATGTTGAGAATTCGGCAAAAAATATTCCCAACATTTGTACACAAGAAAAATTTTGCAAAGAGACACAAATTCCCTCGACACCATATTTATACATTACAATAATTTAAATGGCTCAAGATCCAATTACGTTATTGGTCAGTATATACAATGATTGAGTAGTGCATTGCTAAGCAAAAATTGCTTATTTCTTTATTCTGTATTATTTCGCTCACAGAAGCAGCACAGCACGACTCAATAGAAAAAAAACACACTGTTTGGTAATAAAAGTTTCCAGGTGAAAAACCCATACAAGCTATAAATAAAGCTTCACGAGCGTAATAGGTGTCAAGTATGAATGTAATAGTGGCAAAAATTAGAACAAAAATTAATACAAATATCACATCCTAAAGTAAAGGCATTACATAAGTAAATTCTCACGAGAGAAAAACTATATGATAAAGAAAGTTAAATTAATATTGAACAAGATAAAGATCACGAAATTTTGTCTTTAAAATAGATTGAGTACAGTTTATTCTGAAATCATCAGGCCAATTCTTGTAATTGCCCAAAATTTCCCAAAAGAAACGCTCACGAATGACTACGGCTAGCAAAATTTCAATGTAGAAGAATGTTTCTATCAGTATTCTATAATGTTTCTATCAGTAGAAATGGCCGAACATGGCGGGAAAATCATTATTATGTGTGATTCATGTTTCCGATAATAACGTGCTTCTTAGAGGAATGAAAATATGCCTTAATATTGAAGAACTGAAAAGACTGAGTGTGAAAAATCTGAGAAGATAAAAGGCTTGAGGATAAATTTAAACAAAAATTGCGAAACATTGGCACGGTTGTATTGGATTGGGTCTGTAGGGTTAGATAAAAATCACCTCTCAAGCAATAGTAGGGATGTCAATAAACTATTATTGATATTCAACTAGAAAGTACAGCAATTTTATTTATTTATATAATAAGTGTACGGCTAATGAACATATCGTAGAAATGTTGAAGTAAAAAGTAAGTTATTTTTTATTGGAAGTCATTTAATAACATTCAAACCCCGGGTTCAAAGACCTTTATACCGAATTCTCTCTTTGACCGAAAAGCCAATTAGCTGCTCGAATCTGTGCCAGATTCGCAATATTGACGGCAGTGAATTGCTAGACAAGATCAACTCTCAAGCAGAGGCAGATTATTGAAACTCTTGCCTAACTCAAGTCAATTTGCGAGAGTTAGGTCAATGATGTCTGTACTCATTCTGTACAGACTTGGCATCGTTCATGGCATCATTGAGGGCTGGTCTGTTGCGTCGATGATGTCTGTACAAATTCTGTACAGACGTTGCCTCGTCCTGCTCTGCCTGATGATAATCTTATCCATTCGTTGCGGATCAAACATCTAAATTAGAGCTTATTTTTTCGTGATTCAGTCTCCGATCTTCGTTAATAATAATTAAATATATATAAATTCCCTTCCACATGAATTTATTCCCATTAGGGTTTTTAGAAGATAATTTAGAAGATAATTGGAATATATAGAATCTTCAATAATAGCTACTTATTCTGTTATTCCAAGCGATTTGGTGCACTAACAATGTTATTGTTGCTGGCTCAAGCAACATTAATGACGCCTAATTTAGTTAAATTGAAATATAGTAATCTCGAGATTGAAGGCAGAGAATATTGATCTTTGTTGCAAATCAAATTAGATGTATAATGTTTGACCGAACTGTTGTGAATAAGTTTTCATGAGAGTAAATAAATTTTTAAGCGATGACAATTCTCAGTGCAAAATGTTCTGAAACGCGGGAGAAGAAAGAGGGCAAATTAGTTGAGGTTAGAAATGAATAACGTAACAAGCAATGCTTGTTTTGCTTCGAAGTAAGCTGAATTTTGGTAATGAGACATTCATAAACCGTGAGCATTTTTCATTGACAATTTCTTAGTGCAATGAAGAAAAAGCAGCAAACAACAAAGTATTTGCTATTGTTTGTTTGAAACAGGAAAATTCTCCTGCCCAGAAAATTTGTTCATGGATATGCTGCTTGCAAAAAACATTAACTCTGTAAAATTATTCACACATCGTGCTAATTTACAGATGATAAATATACAGATGATATATATATATTTTAATTCGTTTAAAGAAATTAACTAGGCAGAAGGAAGCGACATGGAAATTCGCATTTTTATCAATGGACCCTGATCTCGACCTCATTACAGTTACTGCTTGTCCACCATTGAAACTCACCATAACTTGGAGAAAAATACTCGCTTCTGTTGCCGTAGTCATTAGCGTAAACCAGTTCCTGGCTGGGGCGGTCAGAGCTGGCCGATGTAGACGACTGTGATTTTCAATTATTTTCTGATCTGTAGGCTTAATTTTTATATTTGAGTTGAAATTTTGCGGTGGAAAGTTTTCTATAACTACTGGAGTTTATTTGTGATTAAAGCTCCAGGGTGATTGGGTGCATGTGTTGTAAATAAGCTCGAGGCTTCGATGCGTGAAGAATTTAGCAAATTTACGAAATAATTATAATAAAACGTAATCTTATGATCTCTAGCAATTCTATGCCTCAACACAGAGATATCCAAACCTCAAGGTAACGCTAAACAAATCTAAATAATAATAATTCATTGTTTCGTTTGTGCATGATTTATTGCAACAAAATTTAATTTAAATTCTAGTGTAAAATTTAATTCTAGT